GCTCAAGGCACTACAGTACATGGATAAGCACTACACAGTCTACACTACATGAAGTTAGCTGCTCATTTCATCATCTTCATCACTAGAACTACCTCATGCATCTCCTACTGGCTCCTCATCATCTTCATCTATTGGCTCCTCATGCTTGCCCTTCTTGTCGCCTAGGGTCGAGGTGAAGATGGGGGCATTACTGAAAGGCTTGCGCTTTCTGTAACTCCGCCAAATCTCAACTACCTCATCGTAGTTGGGCTCGTACTGCATGAGGGACAGACACATGAGGTCCCCCAGTCTCGCGTCCTTGATCCCCCCCCGCCGCCATGTCTTATTCACGTTCTGCCGGGTGAATCCCCTTTCACACTCCACTGTGCTGAGGGGAATCACAGCCACCACCACCCAGAGCTGCACCAGATTGGGGTAGCTCTCCCGCCAGTCTGGCGTCTTCAGGATCGCCGTCGGACCGCTGTGGAAGCCCCGCTCTTCCTTGGGGGCACACGCAAGGACTGAACAGAAGAGGCGAAGCTCCTTGACTGCCTGCCTCTTTTTGATGCCTGGTGGAAGGGAGAGGCAGGGTTCAGAAGAGACAAAGGAGCAAACTGAACCAAAGGATTGTCATTCAAACATATGGATGAAGTCATGACTTGACAAGTTAGGCTTAACGAACCTGGCAAAATCTCCTCACGGTCCTGAGCCTTGAACATCGTCACCAGCGAGTTGAGCCACTCCTGGCAACGCGCATTCCGCTCGGACTTGCCCTGTGGCCATGCATCAGGAGTGAAGAGGCGGACTCCTGAAAGCGAGTCGAGATCACCGAGCCGACCCTCCAGGTTCGCCACGATCCGTTCCGCGAACTCGGTGCACAACTGGATGCAGCCGTCGTGGTCTTCCGGGCCGCTGTACGAGTCCACGGGCTCGTCGTGAAGGGTGAACGTGACTGTAGATGGCCGGCCGTCACTGTCGACACCTTCCACCTTCACTTCGCGGCTACACCCCGGGCCATGGCGCTCCAGGAAAGGTGACAGCCACTGGCTGCTGCCACCGCCGAAGTCATCGCCGCAGTCCACGTAGCGGCTCTCGATGTGATGCGTGGTCCGCTTGATCTGCGCATGCAAAGACACCAGATCAAGCTGGACAGACGAAGGCATACAGTGACAATGTTAGTGACGGCCGAAATAGGGTTACATGCATGGGGAAAATCGCACCACCTCACCTGTCTCCGCTGGAAGGTCTTGTTCAAGATGTTGAGCTGCTCAAGCACATCTGCCAGGAAGTAAAGGAAGAAGTGAAAACGATAGGAGCTTGCCAGCGCGAACATTTTGCTGTTAAGCTCCTTCAGCAGCACAATCACTGCCGGCAAGACAGCGACCAGGCGACGGACGGCATCCCCCCGTGACAGCCACCGAACGGAGTGGATGCCTTGCACTTCAAGGCTTGTTTCGGTGATGACCTCTTGCAGGTCCATGAACCGTGCGTGGCGCGGTCCCGACCGACCAAGCAAATCTGCCACAGCCCGGATAAGATCGTCGACCATGTCGAAGACGGGGAGCTCCTCTGCCGCATCCTTCGCTGCAAGTGCTTCCCTGCAAGTGGAACACATCACACGGGGGAAATCAGATATGTCCTAAACAGACAGTGGAAACGGGATGGAAACTGAACCGCATAGCTCACTAACCTGTGCGCGATGCAGTGAACGGAGACAAGGTGCGGGATTTTCTGTCGCAGTCGGACAACCAATCCGGCCTTAGTCCCCATCATCACTCGTGCGCCGTCGGTGCAAATGCCGGAAATCCTCTGCAGGTCGACACCGACGGCCTGCAAGTGGGAAAGCAGGACGCTCAGAAGAGATGAAGCGTCCGCCTTTTCCACCGTGATTAGCTGCATAAACTCGGTCACGAGCACGTTGTCGCGAATTAACGAGGCGTACAGGATCATGTGCTTCCCCCTGAGCCGATCCGTGCTTTCATATCATGATGCAGATGCCGATGAAAGGGCTTGTCAGGATGTGCTCTAGCTGAGTTGTCTGTAGCCAGGTAGCAAGGGCCTGCGTGAGCTCACCGAAGCCGTACCTGCCCACAGGGAAACAGAAAACAGGAGATTAGAAGTAGGTTAATGTACAAACATCACACACACCAACAAAATACAGGGGGAAGGTGTACTCACGTTGTGTAGTAGGTGCCATATCCCTTCTTTGGGAAGCCTTGAACCCCCTGCGCGCGAGGTACTGCACCAGCTTTACCCATGTTCCCATGGGCGCATCGCATGAACTGACGAACAGCATGGAGTCGAGCAACGCCACGACTCGGTTCTTCTCAGCATCGACGGCGGCTCGATGTTGGTCGATTCGTGGCTGCTTCGAGGCCGCGTTCAGCAGGGCCTCCTGCTTCTCATCGCAAGCTTGTGTTTCGTTGTGCCGGCGTGCTTGCGAAACGCCTGCGTCTGCACGTCGGTGGCCCCGCTCCCTGTCTGGCCACAACGTCCTCTGAGTCCGGCATGCTTGGTGCAGACACTGCACTTAAAAGCTGGGAAACCAGATTTAGATTTGGTTAGCACAAGCCACGGGAACCTCTCAGACCACCTATTTTTGTACTTCAAGAGAGCGTCTGCATAGACTGCTTCAACTGCTTCCGAAAGGTCAACGAGCAATGATGGATGAGGGGATGAGTTGGTCACGACAGGTTGCTCGACGGCGGTGCTGGAAGAAGGCTTTGCCCAGATCAGCGTCGCCTGCTTCAGTTTGAAGTTGCGCGTTGCAGGCGACTCGACAACCACTGTGTCGGAGACGGCAGCAGGCGCAGCAGGTTCACTCCGGATGGAGTCCGGGCTTGTAGATGGCGGTGGGTGGTCGCGGTTCACCCTCTCAACTGGAGCAGGCTTTGTTGTAGGAGGCCTGGTAGCGTGGAGACCAGTGCCTAGCGAGCGCAGGAGCATATCAAGCCCCGTCGTGGCTTCCTCTAGGCCGTCAAGTTCACGGTCGGAGCCACAAAAGAAGGCCCTCTCCTTCTCACCACCCAACTGCAACGCGGCGCGACGTGGGGGCACCATGCACGCACTTGAGGTGGGTGTCTTGTCGTGAGTGAGTGCAGTGCTTTGCTGTGTTGCACTGGTGGTGGGTGATTGGCCCATAAGGGATGTGATTGGTTAAACAACCAGTCCCATCACTTACAGCATTCTGTCGGTGCCAACGAAGCAACCGACGCGACGGGGAAATTCGTTTTCCCGCTGCGCCGGCGCTGTACATGGCCACATTAGCGTGATTGACGGTGGTTGTACCTGGACAGCCGAATCTCGCGGCTCCAGCACGAATCTGTACAAGCGTGATTTCAGCCTACTCTCGCGTTACAAGTCTGATCAATCAGACTACACTTGTAAAAAAACGCTGGGAATTCAGCCACACCTTAAAAAAAAAAACTGAAAAATCAGCCAACTACTTAAAAAAAAAAACTGAAATTTCAGCCAACACCTCTTCCACATGTCTGTGAAATCAGCCTCTAGACACTAATTCAGCCTTTTTTCTCTGACATCTGAGGCCCTGGCTAATTGCCATGGCAAATACATACCGGTAGTCACTTAGCTATCATTCACTAGAATTTTTTTAATATACCGTAGTGGAAGAAAAAAAAATGAACATAAAGATTGTAATAGGTTGCTTCGCAACCCAAAAAAAACAGCAGTCTGAAGGAGGTAAAAGTAAATTCTACTGTACAGGGAAGCACACACACACTGGTAATCCCATTTCTAGTACCATACACAAGTGAACCAGCCAACCAACCTGTCAGGCAAATACCGTAATCACCCGGACATACCACCCTAGGGTGCTATGATAACTACATCAAAAAAAGGGGGGGGGTCTTGTCATGGGAAAAGCTACATAACACCCGGGTCTTTTTATAATGTACATTTTTTTTAAAGCAGAAACGGTTGGGAACAAAATGTACATGCTTGCTGCGGTGGTAGATTGTTGGTTGGGTGCGCAAAACCGAGGATGAGGCGATAACGTTAGGGCGTGTGCACTTTGGGCGAAATTTGTCAAAGTTCGAACATTCACCGCTTTGCACCGAGTAGAACCTCGCTAAAAGTTCGAACTTAGACAGAAGTTTGAACCCCTAGTGCATACGCCCTTAGCCTCGAGTGGAAGCTGCCACATTGCAAGCTCCAACAGACCCTCTATCATGCCCTGATTGGTCGAAAACACACCCCCCGTCGCTCGACGAGGATTCATGCAGTCACAGAGGCGGGAGTCCCGCAACAGGCTTAGCAGCCTCGCTGGTGCGGTCACGTCCCTGCGCAAAATTTAGGCAAAAACAACAATTTTTTCCGTACATAACACCCCCCCCCCGGGTCTTATACCGGATCGGCCCAAAAGGGGGGTATAGTAGAAACGAGGTCCGCTATAGCACCCACCCCGCACAAGCCACCCGGGGGGTGTTCTATTTCGGCGGGTGGTATGTCCGGGTGATTACGGTAGTTCCCTAGCCTCCAAGCTACCGCATACGGTTGCTCCCACCGTTGCTCCATCCCCCCCCCCACCCCCCCTTCTCTCCCCCCCCCTCCCACCTCCCGGATATGACGTCCTTGCCCCCTGTCCATCCAGCTAGGGTCGCCTACGAGGAGCAAGAGACGGGTCGAGGCAGCGCTTCTTAGCAGCGTTGAACACGAGGCCCTCGGGGCACTGGCACTGTGGCTGGCCCCCCTTCACAACGCACTGTGCACTTCCACAATCATTCTCACACATGGCTGTTGTGGGCACCACAGAGAGACAAACAATCCAGACATGAAGAAGGGGGGAATGGATTTTCAGGCATGGTGAGTCGAATGAAAGAATCACAAAAAAGAAGAGCTTGGGTGTCTCGCTCTATCTTACGGTATCTCTCTCGTTTCATTGATTTCATCAGAATGAGCAAAGCACAAGCTAGCGTGCTTGGAGATCTTCTCTAATGTGCACGTGACACTCTTTACGTGAAGGGAAAATAACACCAGCGTAACGTGCATGCACTCGCACTTACTGATCTCACAGCCAACTGATAACAGCGAACGGATTCCTTTGACAGTCCTGAGTGCGGGAGAGGTAAGGATGGGAAAGAGCAAAGCTTAGGACGAGCTAGGGTCCATTCACACTACAACTACGAGACAGTCAAGCAATTTCTGGTGATAGAAAAGTGCCGTACTATGTGATGCAAGCACATTGGAACAAACCATGCAGTTGCATGCATAACGCTCACTCACTTGATGGTGACGGGGTAGGAACTGCCCTTCTTTGCAGGACGCGCAATGGTGAAGCCCAGCTTCTTCGTGCAGCCCGACTCGGCGTAGAACGACAAGCTCTTGCACATGGCGTTGCTAGGGGCGTCGCGGGAAGGCGAGGTGGGGTTGGAGGCATTCCACACGACGGTGATCTTGGCGGTGCCTTCGATGGTGACATACAGGTTGCCGCACGCACTGCTGCCACTGGCCTGCTCTGCCGGCAGCGGCAAAAAGAAGGTGGCGGGCACAATGCTTCTGGAGCCTCCTTGCTGCAGCGCCACTGTCGTCCGCGCCAAGGGAGCTGACAGCCGTTCAAGGAGACGGGCAATGCCAGATCATGGCCGTTGAAGGTTGCGTGACGATGATGGCGGTTTGGAGGCAGGACAGGAGAGAGGAGAGCAAGGGGGCAGACCAGACAGGGGGGAAGGCACGGGAGGAGTGAGGAGGGGTGAACGTTTCCGGCCCTGCCTCTCAGCGGCGCCTCTCAGTGTCTCAAGGAATGTAACGATGAGACGATGAGATGCCTCAAGGAATGTAGTGCCTAAAGCTCACCAGTGAGACTGAAACGATGAGATGCCTCAAGGAATGAAGCTACTGCTCACGAGTGCAGCACTCACCATAGCACGTCTTGTCAGCCTCGTTGAAGGCAAGGCCATTCTCGCAATAGCAGAAAAAATCGTTAGGACCGAGAGTGGTGCAGGAACCCTCTAACCCACACACCCCGCTGCCGGCACACGGGTCTGCAGAGGAAGCGATGGTGACGCAGGGAGAGCAGGTTAAATGGTGACGCAGGGAGAGCAGGTTAAATGGTGACGCAGGGAGAGCAGGTTAAATGGTGACGCAGGGAGAGCAGGTTAAATGGTGACGCAGGGAGAGCAGGTTAAATGGTGACGCAGGGAGAGCAGGTTAAATGGGTGAAAATGTTGCTTATGATTGTGCACTCCCCCACACGCGCGCACTCGACCACACACCACTCACCAACACACTAGCACTCACCCACACACTAGCACTCACCCACACACTAGCACTCACCCACACACTAGCACTCACCCACACACTAGCACTCACCCACACACTAGCACTCACCCACACACTAGCACTCACCCACACACTAGCACTCACCCACACACTAGCACTCACCCACACACTAGCACTCACCCACACACTAGCACTCACCCACACACTAGCACTCACCCACACACTAGCACTCACCCACACACTAGCACTCACCCACACACTAGCACTCACCCACACACTAGCACTCACCCACACACTAGCACTCACCCACACACACGTCTTGTGGTCATCGTCGAATACAAAACCGTCCTTGCACACGCACACGGGCATGTCTATATCAACAGTGCAGGTAGCTTCTCCACAGTCTTCGTTGGCACACAGGTCTGCACAGAAATCGTGATTGTTTCACGCAGGGGCGAAGAGGCACACACACCAGCACACAGGCAAGGTAGGGAAAGGGGGTTCAAACGAGTCAGTTTCTGCTATGATTGTGCGCCGCTGAACCAAACGCCAGCACTCATCCACACGCCAGCACTCATCCACACGCCAGCACTCATCCACACGCCAGCACTCATCCACACGCCAGCACTCATCCACACGCCAGCACTCATCCACACGCCAGCACTCATCCACACGCCAGCACTCATCCACACGCCAGCACTCATCCACACGCCAGCACTCATCCACACGCCAGCACTCATCCACACGCCAGCACTCATCCACACGCCAGCACTCATCCACACGCCAGCACTCATCCACACGCCAGCACTCATCCACACGCCAGCACTCATCCACACGCCAGCACTCATCCACACGCCAGCACTCATCCACACGCCAGCACTCATCCACACGCCAGCACTCATCCACACGCCAGCACTCATCCACACGCCAGCACTCATCCACACGCCAGCACTCATCCACACGCCAGCACTCATCCACACGCCAGCACTCATCCACACGCCAGCACTCATCCACACGCCAGCACTCATCCACACGCCAGCACTCATCCACACGCCAGCACTCATCCACACGCCAGCACTCATCCACACGCCAGCACTCATCCACACGCCAGCACTCATCCACACGCCAGCACTCATCCACACGCCAGCACTCATCCACACGCCAGCACTCATCCACACGCCAGCACTCATCCACACGCCAGCACTCATCCACACGCCAGCACTCATCCACACGCCAGCACTCATCCACACGCCAGCACTCATCCACACGCCAGCACTCATCCACACGCCAGCACTCATCCACACGCCAGCACTCATCCACACGCCAGCACTCATCCACACGCCAGCACTCATCCACACGCCAGCACTCATCCACACGCCAGCACTCATCCACACGCCAGCACTCATCCACACGCCAGCACTCATCCACACGCCAGCACTCATCCACACGCCAGCACTCATCCACACGCCAGCACCACAAGCCTTCTGCCAGTGGCGTGTGGCAGTCAGCCTACTCACCTTCAGCGGCGCTGGCGTGGGTCGCGAGGAAGCTGATGGCAACGACACCCGCGACGACCGCGGCAAGGCCACACTGGCCGGACAGGCGCGTGTAGCGAATCATGGCGACAGGAGTCGGCGCGGGGAACGGGAAGTTTGGGTTTTTGAGGCGCGTCCAAAGGCGGCCCGAGGAAACGGGAAGAGTGGGATGACGATGACGTGGCGATGGCAACGAGCTTCAGGCCCGAGTTGAACCGCCGGGATGGGACTGACGACGCTGGCACTCGCGATGAGGTGAGATTGGGCGGGACCTGCCACTGAGACGATGCGACTGAGAAGGTGCCACTGAGACGATGCCACTCAAGGTGCGACCGAGAAGATGCGATTGAAAAGGTGCGACTGAGAAGATGCGATTGAAAAGGTGCGATTAAGAAAGTGCCACTGAGAAGGGAGGAGACGAAGGCGCGCAATGAGCGAGGAGCGGTGGGAGAATGTGATTGAGCCCTCGGGAGCGGGCGTCGATTTATATTCAGAGCGAGTGGTCAATCGCACATGATGAATTATTATTCCTCGAAATTGGCTCGTGGATCATGTAACGAGTTTCGTCACGGAAGAAGGATAGGAGGAGAGGAGGGGTGGGGGTGAGGGGGAGGAGAGGAGGACGGGAGGGGGTGAGGGGAGGAGAGGAAGCTCAAGGGGATCGGCACTGCGCCGAGGCCCGGAAACGCGCATTCGGTGGACTTTAGGACTAGATGATGATGGTGTTGCGGCAGCGAGAAGGTCGACCAAGGGTGTGGCGAGTGTCGTCATGGTGGGCACAAGGGGGAGGAACGCGAATGAGTGGACGAGGGGAGCGGCGATGACGGGAGGAAAGCCGTTCGGGAGGCGCGAGCGTGCGGCTAGTGAACGCGTTAAGTTGGCCAATCCCAATGCACAAAGGCGTGCTTCAAACTCTGGCTGGCCGCAGCGCAAACAAGCTTCTGCCTCGAGTATCAGTACCCAGCTCGAGTAGAGAGTTGCGACAAGTGCGGGAGTTGCGGAGAGTGATCCCTTGGATGAACGCGTTCAAGTTTGCGGTGGTGGTCGAAAAAAGGCTCAGAAGCGGACGTGGTTGAATACGGTCAATTACGTTTAGGCGCGGTTTTCGGCTCTTACCACATTGCGCACCAGGATGAACCATTCAAAACGAATTGGAACGTGTTTCGTAACGTCCTTCAATTGTTTTTCATATACCCTATATTTTTGTTACAGGTGCAATGATCTAAATCGAGAAAATTGCACTCGGGCGTCAACCGAGTACAAATTATGAGCGAAGGCATGGGAAAATACCTATACGAAACATGCAAGTGGTTACGCGGTGCGTGCAAGCTACCTAGTGCGATGCTGGCATCAAGGTTCGGGCTAGTCCCGAAGCGTAGGCTGACACGGCCGGGCCAACAGTGCATGGTTTGGTGAATAATGCACGCGAAGGTTGGCGAAGCCCAGTTAGCAGTAAAGGGCGAACAACGGCTGCTGCTGTACGCGGTATTGAAGCACGCCGTAAAGAATGGTGGAAAAATCCTTACACTACCCACCCCCTGAAAAAACCTTCTCTGCTACGCGAGTGCATGTATACCACGAAAATCCCAGCTCCTCGGGTACACTTGCAAGGCAGGGCGGTTTTCGATGTTGGCCAGGGGCACCTAGCTGTATTTGGTCGGGATGCGGTCCTTCCAGCGAACGAGGAACTCGATCCTCCTGATTCCTGCGGGGTAGCGAATCCGATGGCTTAGTTTTTTTTCGGGGTCGACGATCGGCTCCGATGCAGGTCGAGTCATTGACGGTGGGCGATTGCGTGGCAGTTGGCTTGTGGTGGGGATGTACGGGTGGAGCAGGCTGACATGGAACGATGGGCTAATGTACCAGTCTAACGGTAACAGTAGGTGTCAAAACATGATAATGGTTATGTTGCGTAGGCTATAGTGGGGTAACCCTTAAAGGGTACAACCCAATTAGGGCTAGTACTTGTATTCATCTTGTTCTCAATGCCATCATTCTCGTTCAGTATTTTGACATGGTTTCAGAGCAGGTCCTATTCCACGACCGTTTTTTTAGGGCCCACCGAAGAGTACCCTGCCCGTCGCGCTGCCCCACCAGTCGCGTTGCCCTACCTTGCCCTTCCCTGCGTTGCGCCGCCCCGCGCACGCCCTGCCCTGCGTCGCGCCGCCCCGCGCACGCCCTGCCCTGCGTCGCGCCGCCCGCGCACGCCCTGCCCTGCCCGTCGCATCATCCTAGGGCCCGTGCGCCGCCTTGATCTGCCCGTTTCCCCCCGTGTCCGCGTGCCGCCCTGCTGGCAGCGCACCACCCTGCCCTGGCCGCACGCCGCCCTTCCCCGGCCGCGCGCCGCCCCGCCCTGGCTTGCGCGCCTCCCTAGTGCCCGCGCGTCGCCCCGAACAGACTTGCGTGCCTCCCTGCTTCCTGCGCGCCGCCCTGCCTTGCCTGCGTGTTGCCCTGCTGGTTGTGCGCCACCCTGCTCTGCCCGTTATGGCCTCTATGTTCTCACCTTCGATTCTGAGGGCCGTCCGATCCAGTTTGAGACCTGGCTAGACGACTTACAGCTGTACCTACAGAGCGAGTCTAAGGACAGTGTCTCCTTATTTGACCACACGTCTAGGAGCTCTCTCGCCCCCCCCGAGACAGCTGACAGTGCAACTCGCTCACAGTGGCTTACCCGTGACGCTACTGCTCGCCTCGCCGTTCGCAACCACCTGCCGTTAGCCAAACGCGTGCACTCCTCCCCTGCCACTGCTACTCTAGGCCGACTCATACTGCCCTACCTCTTTCCTGAGCTGTCGGCCTTGTCCACAGTCGACGACCTCATCATACACCTTCTCATGGCACTCCTCTCACTCCCTTCTTTGAGGGGTGTTCCCCCTCCCCCCTTGCCCCCTCTGTCGCTTCTGCTGCTGCTGTTGACTTCCTTCGTGCTGCTTCTGCTCCTAGTGGGAGGCGCCGCAGCGGCAAGGGCAAGGGAGGCAAGAGTGGTGGGGGTGGCGGCGGTGGAGGCGGTGGTGGAGGCGGTGGAGGTGGTGGTGGTGGCGGTGGTGGTGGTGGAAGTGGTGGTGGGAGTTGAGGCGTCGGTGGCGGCGGTGGTGGTAGCGGTGGGAGTGGTGGCGGCGGTGGTGGCAGCAGTGGGAGTGGTGGCGGCGGCAGTGGTGGCGGTCGGGGTGGAGCGGTCCAGAGGGGAGGTTCTGGTGGTGGCCAGAGGCAGCAGCAGCAGCGTCCCCATGAGACCCTCAGCTTCGTGGGTGGTTTGCTCAACGTGGGGCGTCTGGGGGTAGTGTTCGCTGCCCGTACGTCATTCGCACATGTGATCGGGCTGGTCAGGCATGCGGGAAGGTTGGTCACACTCAGTACCGCTGCTTCTGCCGTCCTGACGACGCCTGGCTCGCAGAGTTTGGCGACGAGGCTGAGCTCCCCCGCTGGCTAGAGCTGCTTAGGACCGATGTGGATATCTTTGCTCTTGACTATGATGCTATTCTTGCTGCCATGTATGCTTTGACTGTTAGTGCTGAGGATGACTATTACCTGTATGTGCCGCCCGACCCAGGTATAGAGGCTGCTGCTCTAGGTGCTAGTGCGCCTGCTCTCTCTGGTACTGCGCCTGCTGAGGCCTTGCACACCTTCACGCTTGACTCAGGTGCTTCCCGCTGCTTATTTTGCGACAGTACTACAGTCACACCACTCCCTGCACCTGTTGCAGTCTCTCTGGCTGACCCCTCAGGGGGCCCAGTTCTTGCACGTTCCTCCACTATTCTCCCGTGTCCGGCGGTTCCGTCTGGCTCATTTTCCGGTCTTCACCTCCCCTCGTTCTCTACGAACTTGATGAGTACCACTGCCCTCCAAGATGAGATGGTCACTACCACCACTCCTGGGGGTCAGCGTGTGTCGATCTGCACGTGTGCACGGACGGGCCGTCACCTGGCCACGTTCACCCGTCGGCCTCAGTCGAGCCTGTACACACTGACTACTGAGCCTGCTCAGGTGGCTGTGTCTGGTCAGGTGTTCGCGTCAGGTCAGGTAGCAGCCCCCTGTTCGTGTCGCCTCCTCACGCACCAGACTCTCCTTTGGCACCACCGCCTTGGTCATCCCTCCCTGCCACGCCTCCGTGGCATGCACTCCCGCCTCCTTGTCTCTGGTCTTCCCAGGTCTCTGCCTTCCCTCCCGCCCTCGCCTGTGCCACCCTGCCTTCCTTTCGTTGAGGGGCGGCAGCGCGCCGCTCCTCACCCCTCCTCGTTTCCCCCGACGACTGCTCCCCTGCAGACTCTCCATATGGACGTGTGGGGCCCAGCCCGCGTCAATGGACAGGACCGCGAACGATACTCTCTGCTGGTTGTTGACGACTACTCGTGTTACACCACGGTCTTCCCCTTGTGCAGCAAGGGGGAGGTCCCTTCTGTCTTTCTCCCTTGGATCCGCGCTGTCCGTCTCCAGCTCCGCGAGCGGTTCCGCCAGGACCTTCCTGTCCTGCATCTGCACTCTGACAGAGGTGGTGAGTTCTCCTCCCACCTCCTACAGGACTTTTGTCGTGGGGAGGGCATCCTCCAGTCGTTCACGCTTCCGGCCTCCCCGCAGCAGAATGGGGTTACTGAGCGCCGCATTGGCTTAGTCATGGATGCTCCCCATTTTCCGTGGCCGTTTGCGGTCCGGTACGCTGCGCATCAGCTCAACCTCTGGCCCCGTGTCTCCTTGCCGGAGACCTCGCCTACACTGCGTTGGATGGGGAAGGTTGGCGATGCGTCGGTGTTCCGGGTCTGGGGCTCTTGTGCCTTTGTCCGCGATACCACCGCGGACAAGCTCTCCTCTCGCGCCTTTCCCTCCGTCTTCCTTGACTTTCCCCCTGACGCGACTGGCTGGCAGTTTTACCACCCCACCACGTGCCATGTTCTGTCCTCTCATGACGTCATGTTTGATGAGTCGGTTCCCTTTTATCGTTTCTTCCCCTACCGCACTGCCCCTCCCCCCCCCCCCCCCCCCCCCCCCGCCGCTCTTCCTCGCTCTTCCAGTGACCTCGACAGGCTCAACCAGGGGAGAGGGGTCTACCTGGGAAACACCTGAAGGAGCAGGACCCTGAGGGGAGAGGGGTTCTACCGGGGGCGGACCTGGAGCGAGGAAGCGCGCGGGGGGGGGGGGGGGGGGGGGGGGGGGGGGGGGAGAGAGGCAGCGCGGTAGGGGAAGAGACGGTAAAAGGGAACCGACTCGTCAAACGTGACGTCCTGAGAGGACAGAACACGGCGCGAGGTGGGGTGGTAAAACTGCCAGCCAGGCACGTCAGGGGGGAAGCCAAGGAAGACGCAGGGAATGGCGCGAGCGGAGAGCTTGTCCGTGGTGGTATCGCGGACAAAGGCACGAGAGCCCCAGACCCGGAAGCGCGACGCATCGCCAACCTTCCCCGTCCAACGCAGTGTGGGCGAAGTCTCCGGTAAGGAGACACGGGGCCAGAGGTTGAGCTGACGCGCGGCGTACCGGACCGCAAACGGCCACAGAAAATGGGGAGCAGCCGCATGGATCATGGAGGTGCGAGCGATCTCCATGACTAGGCCAATGCGGCGCTCAGCAACCCCATTCCGCTGCGGAGAGGCCGGAAGCGTGAACGACTAGAGGATGCCCTCCCCCTGACAAAAGTCCTGCAAGAGGTCGGAGGAAAACTCACCACCTCTGTCAGAGTGCAGACGTAGGACGGGAAAGTCCGTCTGGAAACGGTCGCGGAGCTGGAGACGAACAGCGCGGATCCAAGGGATCAAGATAGCAGGGACTTCACCCTTGCTGCGCAAGGGGAAGACCGTGGTGTACCGCGAGTAGTCGTCAACAACCAGCAGAAAGTACTGCTCGCGGCCCTGTCCCTGGACGCGGGCTGGGCCCCACACGTCCATGTGGAGAGTCTGCAGGGGAGCGTCTGTCGGGGGAAACGAGGAGGAGTGAGGAGCGGCGCGCTGCCGCCCCTCGACACAAGGGAGACACGGCGGGGCAGGCGAGCGTGGGAGCGACGGCAGCGACTGGGGAAGACCAGAGACAAGCAGACGGGAGTGCATGCCACGGAGGCGTGGCAGAGAGGGGTGACCAAGGCGGTGGTGCCAGAGGAGAGTCTGGTGCGACAGGCGACGACACAAGCAAGGGGCAGACTGCAGTCCGGACAAGGACACCTGACCAGTAGCAGCAACCTGGGGAGACCCGACAGTCAGGGTGTACAGACTCGACCCAGGCCGACGGGTGAACGTGGCCAGGTGGCGGCCCGTGCGGGCACACGTGCAGATCGCCACACGACGTCCTCCAGGGGTGAAGGTGTCAACCCACTCATCCTGGATGACGGCGTTACTCACCAGGTTCGTGGAGAACGAGGGGAGGTGGAGACCTGTAAGTGAGCCAGACGGGACCGCCGGACAGGGGAGGACAGTGGAGGAACGTGCAAGGACAGGTTCCCCAGAGGGGTAAGCAAGGGAGACGGGAACCGGTGCATAGAGCGGTGTGACTGTGGTGCTGTCGCGGAAGAAGCAGCGGGAGGCACCTGAGTCTAGCGTGAAAGTGTACAAGGCCTCAGTAGGCGCAGTACCTGAGAGAGCAGACTCACTAGCACCTAGAGCAGCAGACTCACAAGCACCAAGGGCAACAGACTCACAAGCACCTGGAGCAGCAGCCTCTATACCAGGGTCTGGCGGAACACACAGGTAACAGTCACCCTCATCACTAATAGTCAATGCATACATGGCAGCAAGGATAGCATCATAGTCAAGATCAAAGATCTCTACTCCCCTCCTAAGCAGCTCAGCCCAGTTGGTCATCTCAGAGGAGTCAGGAAACTGAGCACGCCAGGCACCACTAAGGCGGGAAAAGCAGCGGTGCTGGGTGTGCAACCTCCCGAAGGTCTAACCAGCACGCTCACCTGTACGAATGACATACGGGCAGGTACCACCACCCCCAGGCGACTGACGCTGCGCGTACCACTCACGAAGGTCCTGCGGCGTACGGGGCAGGCGCTGGCGCTGCTGCTGCTGTGCCTGGCTGCCTGTAAAGCCGCTGTGCCGGGCCGCACCACTGCGTCCACCGCCACCGACGCCGCTGCCACTCCCACCGCCGCCACCTCCGCCGCTGCCACCCCCACTGCCGCCACCACCACCGACCCCAACACCCCCACCCCCACCCCCGCCGCTCCCACCACCCCCGCCGCCACCACCCGAGCCTCCACCACCGCCTCCACCCCCACCACCCCCACCACCCTTGCCGCCCTTCCCCTTGCCGCTGCGGCGCCTGCCACTGGAAGCAGACGCAACCCCAACCTCCTCAGCACCAAGGAGGTCGACAGCAGCAGCAGTGGCGACAGAGGGGAGGAGGGGAGAGGGGGAACACCCCTCGAAGAAGGGGGTGCGAGGAGTGCCTCGAGAAGCGCCTATAGTGAGCTAAGTGGGGTCCATGGCGAGGAAGGTGTCCCTGACAGCGCGAAGAGAGTCAGGGAGGCGAGTGACTAGGAGGTAGAGGGTGTAGTGGATAGGGGGAGGGTTCTTGGTGAGGAAGTCGGCAGGGGTCGCAGCACGCACCCGAGTGTCGCTAGTGCGGAGGTGGGTGATGAGATCAGCGACTGTAGGAAAGGCGGACAGGTCAGGAAAGAGGTAGGGCAGGATAAGACGGCCTAGCGCAGCAGTGGCAGGCGAGCTGTAGCGAGCTACGACTGCGTCGAACAGGTCCTTGGCGGTTTTCTGTTGGCTAAAGTGCGCGCGCTCGGCTTACGGTAGGTGGTTGCGCACAGCTAGGCGGGCAGCAGCGTCGCGAATAAGCCACTGGTCACGAGTGTCAGCGTCAGCAGTGTCTGCAGGGGCGGCAGCGCTACCAGACGTATGAGCGAACAGGGACACACGATCCTTAGACTCGCACTGAAGGTAGAGCCTAAGGTCGTCTAACCAGGTCTCAAATTCGATCGGGCGGCCCTCTGCGTCAAAGGTGAGAACATTGTAAGTCGCCATGGGCAAAGGGCAAGCGGCAGGATGCGTGCACAGGGCAGAAGGAGGCGGCGCTCACTGGGTTAGGGGCAGCCGGCAGGGGAGGAAGCGGACTGCACACACATGCAGGGTAGGGAGTGCGGCGGGCAGGCTGCGCACGGGCAGGGCAGGGCAGGCTGCGCACGGGCAGGGCAGAGCGCGGCTGCGGGTTGCGCACGGCAGGGCAGGGTGGCGCGGCGGTGGACTGCGCACGGCAGGGCAGGGTGGCGCGGCGGTGGGCTGCGCACGGGCAGGGCAGGGAGGCGCGGCGGCTGGCTGCGCACGGGCAGGGCAGGTGGCGCGGCTGTGGGCTGCGCACGAGCAGGGCAGGTGGCGCGGCGGCGGGCTGCGCACGGGCAGAGCAGGTGGCGCGGCGGCGGGCTGCCCACGGGCAGGGCAGTGCGCGGCGACGGGCGGCGCACGGACAGGACAGGCGCGCGGGCGGCGGGGCGACGCGACAGCAGCGCGACGCGGCCAGCAGTGCGCGCGGGGTGGGGCAGGCAGAGCAGTGCGCTAAAAAAAATTCGCGCTGCAGCAGTGGCGCGTGGCTGACAGGGGCAGCGCGACTCGGGGTAGGGCAGTGGGGTAACGTGGTAACAGGTGGTCCCTATGAAAAGCTTAGGCCCTAAGGACCCATGGCTCTTAATACCATGTCAAGATAATAGACTAGAATAGGATGAACTAAGGCAAGATGTGATACAAGTATGAAACCCTTAAGGGGTTGTACCCCTTAGTGGCTACCCCACTGTAGCCTACAACATACAAACAACAAATATAGTTTGACAGTTGTTTCATGTAACAGTTGAATGATTCAAGACCTATGCTATTCAGCTCCCCCACATGCTAGGCAGGGGATGCGGTAGCATAGGGTCTGGGTCAATTAACTGTTACGCATTTCCATCATGCTAAGCATTCATTTCACTATATTGGACCGAAGTATATACCGGTACTACCGGTACATTCACCACAGTAGCATATATCAGAATCACTAGGCAAGAATGAATGAACTAGCAGAAGTTTGGGTACAAATATGAAACCCTAGTTGGGGTTGTACCCCATATTGGCCTACCAACATATAACACACTGCATTATATTTATGCATTTTACATCATATCCATCATTATACTTCGATTATGCATAACATCGCCCGTCATATGCATTACGAAATGAACAACTATGCATTCAAAGTAACATCGTTTTAGTAACGCATGTTCATATTTCGTCCGTATAGTATACCGTATGGCGCCGGATATAGGCGCCGTCCGATTAAAGGCGCCGGCGCTTCTATCTGGAGCATGGCGCTTATGGCCGGAACTCGATTATAAGCGCCCCCCTTGTAAACCCCTGATTTATTATAAGCGCATGCATAATTTTATTTTTTCAATCCTGATTAAAACGGTAGCGAATCTCAACTTCCAAGCGAGTCAGCACCCATTTTCACCTTGTTTGACTTTCGAGGTCCTGACTGGTTGCGCGTCCAGTCAGGACGAGGTGGCACGCGGGCAAATTGATGTGCCAAATGCTCTGTTCAGCGTCAGAGAATCGCCCTCGCGCGATTCTGATTCAGGAAGCTGTAAAATTTCGACTCGATTGAACTTACTTGACAAAAATGTACAGTTTGGTGCGTTTAAGTTATAATTCTATATTTGTCATTATATAAGCGCCGGCGCTTATGGCCGTGACTCAATTAACCCCCCCCCCCCCCCCCCCCCCCCCCCCCAAAAAAAACTGATTTTATTATAAGCGCATATGCGCTACTATCCGGGGTGATACGGTGGTTCATCCAAACTAGGAAATGAGAACGAAGTGCTAATTGCAGGGCCTCATATTCGTTTTTAGCTTGGCTGATACGTCAGCCTTAGCAAGCTACCCTAGGCTGATCTATCAGAGTTGGGTGTAACAAAAAAGCTGAACTTTCAGACAAGTCCTTAAAAAAACGCTGACTAATCAGCCTCTCTAAAAAACGAAGGCTGATCTAAGTTTCAGCACTTTTATTCATACGATGTAGCATGTGACATTACACTACACTACACTAATGACACTACACTACGTCAGCTGCTCAAGGCACTACAGTACATGGATAAGCACTACACAGTCTACACTACATGAAGTTAGCTGCTCATTTCATCATCTTCATCACTAGAACTACCTCATGCATCTCCTACTGGCTCCTCATCATCTTCATCTATTGGCTCCTCATGCTTGCCCTTCTTGTCGCCTAGGGTCGAGGTGAAGATGGGGGCATTACTGAAAGGCTTGCGCTTTCTGTAACTCCGCCAAATCTCAACTACCTCATCGTAGTTGGGCTCGTACTGCATGAGGGACAGACACATGAGGTCCCCCAGTCTCGCGTCCTTGATCCCCCCCCGCCGCCATGTCTTATTCACGTTCTGCCGGGTGAATCCCCTTTCACACTCCACTGTGCTGAGGGGAATCACAGCCACCACCACCCAGAGCTGCACCAGATTGGGGTAGCTCTCCCGCCAGTCTGGCGTCTTCAGGATCGCCGTCGGACCGCTGTGGAAGCCCCGCTCTTCCTTGGGGGCACACGCAAGGACTGAACAGAAGAGGCGAAGCTCCTTGACTGCCTGCCTCTTTTTGATGCCTGGTGGAAGGGAGGGAGGCAGGGTTCAGAAGAGACAAAGGAGCAAACTGAACCAAAGGATTGTCATTCAAACATATGGATGAAGTCATGACTTGACAAGTTAGGCTTAACGAACCTGGCAAAATCTCCTCACGGTCCTGAGCCTTGAACATCGTCACCAGCGAGTTGAGCCACTCCTGGCAACGCGCATTCCGCTCGGACTTGCCCTGTGGCCATGCATCAGGAGTGAAGAGGCGGACTCCTGAAAGCGAGTCGAGATCACCGAGCCGACCCTCCAGGTTCGCCACGATCCGTTCCGCGAACTCGGTGCACAACTGGATGCAGCCGTCGTGGTCTTCCGGGCCGCTGTACGAGTCCACGGGCTCGTCGTGAAGGGTGAACGTGACTGTAGATGGCCGGCCGTCACTGTCGACACCTTCCACCTTCACTTCGCGGCTACACCCCGGGCCATGGCGCTCCAGGAAAGGTGACAGCCACTGGCTGCTGCCACCGCCGAAGTCATCGCCGCAGTCCACGTAGCGGCTCTCGATGTGATGCGTGGTCCGCTTGATCTGCGCATGCAAAGACACCAGATCAAGCTGGACAGACGAAGGCATACAGTGACAATGTTAGTGACGGCCGAAATAGGGTTACATGCATGGGGAAAATCGCACCACCTCACCTGTCTCCGCTGGAAGGTCTTGTTCAAGATGTTGAGCTGCTCAAGCACATCTGCCAGGAAGTAAAGGAAGAAGTGAAAACGATAGGAGCTTGCCAGCGCGAACATTTTGCTGTTAAGCTCCTTCAGCAGCACAATCACTGCCGGCAAGACAGCGACCAGGCGACGGACGGCATCCCCCCGTGACAGCCACCGAACGGAGTGGATGCCTTGCACTTCAAGGCTTGTTTCGGTGATGACCTCTTGCAGGTCCATGAACCGTGCGTGGCGCGGTCCCGACCGACCAAGCAAATCTGCCACAGCCCGGATAAGATCGTCGACCATGTCGAAGACGGGGAGCTCCTCTGCCGCATCCTTCGCTGCAAGTGCTTCCCTGCAAGTGGAACACATCACACGGGGGAAATCAGATATGTCCTAAACAGACAGTGGAAACGGGATGGAAACTGAACCGCATAGCTCACTAACCTGTGCGCGATGCAGTGAACGGAGACAAGGTGCGGGATTTTCTGTCGCAGTCGGACAACCAATCCGGCCTTAGTCCCCATCATCACTCGTGCGCCGTCGGTGCAAATGCCGGAAATCCTCTGCAGGTCGACACCGACGGCCTGCAAGTGGGAAAGCAGGACGCTCAGAAGAGATGAAGCGTCCGCCTTTTCCACCGTGATTAGCTGCATAAACTCGGTCACGAGCACGTTGTCGCGAATTAACGAGGCGTACAGGATCATGTGCTTCCCCCTGAGCCGATCCGTGCTTTCATCGATGCAGATGCCGATGAAAGGGCTTGTCAGGATGTGCTCTAGCTGAGTTGTCTGTAGCCAGGTAGCAAGGGCCTGCGTGAGCTCACCGAAGCCGTACCTGCCCACAGGGAAACAGAAAACAGGAGATTAGAAGTAGGTTAATGTACAAACATCACAACACACCAACAAAATACAGGGGGAAGGTGTACTCACGTTGTGTAGTAGGTGCCATATCCCTTCTTTGGGAAGCCTTGAACCCCCTTGCGCGCGAGGTACTGCACCAGCTTTACCCATGTTCCCATGGGCGCATCGCATGAACTGACGAACAGCATGGAGTCGAGCAACGCCACGACTCGGTTCTTCTCAGCATCGACGGCGGCTCGATGTTGGTCGATTCGTGGCTGCTTCGAGGCCGCGTTCAGCAGGGCCTCCTGCTTCTCCATCGCAAGCTTGTGTTTCGTTGTGCCGGCGTGCTTGCGAAACGCCTGCGTCTGCACGTCGGTGGCCCCGCTCCCTGTCTGGCCACAACGTCCTCTGAGTCCGGCATGCTTGGTGCAGACACTGCACTTAAAAGCTGGGAAACCAGATTTAGATTTGGTTAGCACAAGCCACGGGAACCTCTCAGACCACCTATTTTTGTACTTCAAGAGAGCGTCTGCATAGACTGCTTCAACTGCTTCCGAAAGGTCAACGAGCAATGATGGATGAGGGGATGAGTTGGTCACGACAGGTTGCTCGACGGCGGTGCTGGAAGAAGGCTTTGCCCAGATCAGCGTCGCCTGCTTCAGTTTGAAGTTGCGCGTTGCAGGCGACTCGACAACCACTGTGTCGGAGACGGCAGCAGGCGCAGCAGGTTCACTCCGGATGGAGTCCGGGCTTGTAGATGGCGGTGGGTGGTCGCGGTTCACCCTCTCAACTGGAGCAGGCTTTGTTGTAGGAGGCCTGGTAGCGTGGAGACCAGTGCCTAGCGAGCGCAGGAGCATATCAAGCCCCGTCGTGGCTTCCTCTAGGCCGTCAAGTTCACGGTCGGAGCCACAAAAGAAGGCCCTCTCCTTCTCACCACCCAACTGCAACGCGGCGCGACGTGGGGGCACCATGCACGCACTTGAGGTGGGTGTCTTGTCGTGAGTGAGTGCAGTGCTTTGCTGTGTTGCACTGGTGGTGGGTGATTGGCCCATAAGGGATGTGATTGGTTAAACAACCAGTCCCATCACTTACAGCATTCTGTCGGTGCCAACGAAGCAACCGACGCGACGGGGAAATTCGTTTTCCCGCTGCGCCGGCGCTGTACATGGCCACATTAGCGTGATTGACGGTGGTTGTACCTGGACAGCCGAATCTCGCGGCTCCAGCACGAATCTGTACAAGCGTGATTTCAGCCTACTCTCGCGTTACAAGTCTGATCAATCAGACTACACTTGTAAAAAAACGCTGGGAATTCAGCCACACCTTAAAAAAAAAAACTGAAAAATCAGCCAACTACTTAAAAAAAAAAACTGAAATTTCAGCCAACACCTCTTCCACATGTCTGTGAAATCAGCCTCTAGACACTAATTCAGCCTTTTTTCTCTGACATCTGAGGCCCTGGCTAATTGCCATGGCAAATACATACCGGTAGTCACTTAGCTATCATTCACTAGAATTTTTTTAATATACCGTAGTGGAAGAAAAAAAAATGAACATAAAGATTGTAATAGGTTGCTTCGCAACCCAAAAAAAACAGCAGTCTGAAGGAGGTAAAAGTAAATTCTACTGTACAGGGAAGCACACACACACTGGTAATCCCATTTCTAGTACCATACACAAGTGAACCAGCCAACCAACCTGTCAGGCAAATACCGTAATCACCCGGACATACCACCCTAGGGTGCTATGATAACTACATCAAAAAAAGGGGGGGGGTCTTGTCATGGGAAAAAGCTACATAACACCCGGGTCTTTTTATAATGTACATTTTTTTTAAAGCAGAAACGGTTGGGAACAAAATGTACATGCTTGCTGCGGTGGTAGATTGTTGGTTGGGTGCGCAAAACCGAGGATGAGGCGATAACGTTAGGGCGTGTGCACTTTGGGCGAAATTTGTCAAAGTTCGAACATTCACCGCTTTGCACCGAGTAGAACCTCGCTAAAAGTTCGAACTTAGACAGAAGTTTGAACCCCTAGTGCATACGCCCTTAGCCTCGAGTGGAAGCTGCCACATTGCAAGCTCCAACAGACCCTCTATCATGCCCTGATTGGTCGAAAACACACCCCCCGTCGCTCGACGAGGATTCATGCAGTCACAGAGGCGGGAGTCCCGCAACAGGCTTAGCAGCCTCGCTGGTGCGGTCACGTCCCTGCGCAAAATTTAGGCAAAAACAACATTTTTTTCCGTACATAACACCCCCCCCCCCGGGTCTTATACCGGATCGGCCCAAAAGGGGGGTATAGTAGAAACGAGGTCCGCTATAGCACCCACCCCGCACAAGCCACCCGGGGGGTGTTCTATTTCGGCGGGTGGTATGTCCGGGTGATTACGGTAGTTCCCTAGCCTCCAAGCTACCGCATACGGTTGCTCCCACCGTTGCTCCATCCCCCCCCCCCCCCCCCCCCTTCTCTCCCCCCCCCTCCCACCTCCCGGATATGACGTCCTTGCCCCCTGTCCATCCAGCTAGGGTCGCCTACGAGGAGCAAGAGACGGGTCGAGGCAGCGCTTCTTAGCAGCGTTGAACACGAGGCCCTCGGGGCACTGGCACTGTGGCTGGCCCCCCTTCACAACGCACTGTGCACTTCCACAATCATTCTCACACATGGCTGTTGTGGGCACCACAGAGAGACAAACAATCCAGACATGAAGAAGGGGGGAATGGATTTTCAGGCATGGTGAGTCGAATGAAAGAATCACAAAAAAGAAGAGCTTGGGTGTCTCGCTCTATCTTACGGTATCTCTCTCGTTTCATTGATTTCATCAGAATGAGCAAAGCACAAGCTAGCGTGCTTGGAGATCTTCTCTAATGTGCACGTGACACTCTTTACGTGAAGGGAAAATAACACCAGCGTAACGTGCATGCACTCGCACTTACTGATCTCACAGCCAACTGATAACAGCGAACGGATTCCTTTGACAGTCCTGAGTGCGGGAGAGGTAAGGATGGGAAAGAGCAAAGCTTAGGACGAGCTAGGGTCCATTCACACTACAACTACGAGACAGTCAAGCAATTTCTGGTGATAGAAAAGTGCCGTACTATGTGATGCAAGCACATTGGAACAAACCATGCAGTTGCATGCATAACGCTCACTCACTTGATGGTGACGGGGTAGGAACTGCCCTTCTTTGCAGGACGCGCAATGGTGAAGCCCAGCTTCTTCGTGCAGCCCGACTCGGCGTAGAACGACAAGCTCTTGCACATGGCGTTGCTAGGGGCGTCGCGGGAAGGCGAGGTGGGGTTGGAGGCATTCCACACGACGGTGATCTTGGCGGTGCCTTCGATGGTGACATACAGGTTGCCGCACGCACTGCTGCCACTGGCCTGCTCTGCCGGCAGCGGCAAAAAGAAGGTGGCGGGCACAATGCTTCTGGAGCCTCCTTGCTGCAGCGCCACTGTCGTCCGCGCCAAGGGAGCTGACAGCCGTTCAAGGAGACGGGCAATGCCAGATCATGGCCGTTGAAGGTTGCGTGACGATGATGGCGGTTTGGAGGCAGGACAGGAGAGAGGAGAGCAAGGGGGCAGACCAGACAGGGGGGAAGGCACGGGAGGAGTGAGGAGGGGTGAACGTTTCCGGCCCTGCCTCTCAGCGGCGCCTCTCAGTGTCTCAAGGAATGTAACGATGAGACGATGAGATGCCTCAAGGAATGTAGTGCCTAAAGCTCACCAGTGAGACTGAAACGATGAGATGCCTCAAGGAATGAAGCTACTGCTCACGAGTGCAGCACTCACCATAGCACGTCTTGTCAGCCTCGTTGAAGGCAAGGCCATTCTCGCAATAGCAGAAAAAATCGTTAGGACCGAGAGTGGTGCAGGAACCCTCTAACCCACACACCCCGCTGCCGGCACACGGGTCTGCAGAGGAAGCGATGGTGACGCAGGGAGAGCAGGTTAAATGGTGACGCAGGGAGAGCAGGTTAAATGGTGACGCAGGGAGAGCAGGTTAAATGGTGACGCAGGGAGAGCAGGTTAAATGGTGACGCAGGGAGAGCAGGTTAAATGGTGACGCAGGGAGAGCAGGTTAAATGGTTTAAATGCTTATGATTGCTGCACTCCCCCACACGCGCGCACTCGACCACACACCACTCACCAACACACTAGCACTCACCCACACACTAGCACTCACCCACACACTAGCACTCACCCACACACTAGCACTCACCCACACACTAGCACTCACCCACACACTAGCACTCACCCACACACTAGCACTCACCCACACACTAGCACTCACCCACACACTAGCACTCACCCACACACTAGCACTCACCCACACACTAGCACTCACCCACACACTAGCACTCACCCACACACTAGCACTCACCCACACACTAGCACTCACCCACACACTAGCACTCACCCACACACTAGCACTCACCCACACACTAGCACTCACCCACACACTAGCACTCACCCACACACTAGCACTCACCCACACACTAGCACTCACCCACACACACACGCACTCTTGTGGTCATCGTCGAATACAAAACCGTCCTTGCACACGCACACGGGCATGTCTATATCAACAGTGCAGGTAGCTTCTCCACAGTCTTCGTTGGCACACAGGTCTGCACAGAAATCGTGATTGTTTCACGCAGGGGCGAAGAGGCACACACACCAGCACACAGGCAAGGTAGGGAAAGGGGGTTCAAACGAGTCAGTTTCTGCTATGATTGTGCGCCGCTGAACCAAACGCCAGCACTCATCCACACGCCAGCACTCATCCACACGCCAGCACTCATCCACACGCCAGCACTCATCCACACGCCAGCACTCATCCACACGCCAGCACTCATCCACACGCCAGCACTCATCCACACGCCAGCACTCATCCACACGCCAGCACTCATCCACACGCCAGCACTCATCCACACGCCAGCACTCATCCACACGCCAGCACTCATCCACACGCCAGCACTCATCCACACGCCAGCACTCATCCACACGCCAGCACTCATCCACACGCCAGCACTCATCCACACGCCAGCACTCATCCACACGCCAGCACTCATCCACACGCCAGCACTCATCCACACGCCAGCACTCATCCACACGCCAGCACTCATCCACACGCCAGCACTCATCCACACGCCAGCACTCATCCACACGCCAGCACTCATCCACACGCCAGCACTCATCCACACGCCAGCACTCATCCACACGCCAGCACTCATCCACACGCCAGCACTCATCCACACGCCAGCACTCATCCACACGCCAGCACTCATCCACACGCCAGCACTCATCCACACGCCAGCACTCATCCACACGCCAGCACTCATCCACACGCCAGCACTCATCCACACGCCAGCACTCATCCACACGCCAGCACTCATCCACACGCCAGCACCACAAGCCTTCTGCCAGTGGCGTGTGGCAGTCAGCCTACTCACCTTCAGCGGCGCTGGCGTGGGTCGCGAGGAAGCTGATGGCAACGACACCCGCGACGACCGCGGCAAGGCCACACTGGCCGGACAGGCGCGTGTAGCGAATCATGGCGACAGGAGTCGGCGCGGGGAACGGGAAGTTTGGGTTTTTGAGGCGCGTCCAAAGGCGGCCCGAGGAAACGGGAAGAGTGGGATGACGATGACGTGGCGATGGCAACGAGCTTCAGGCCCGAGTTGAACCGCCGGGATGGGACTGACGACGCTGGCACTCGCGATGAGGTGAGATTGGGCGGGACCTGCCACTGAGACGATGCGACTGAGAAGGTGCCACTGAGACGATGCCACTCAAGGTGCGACCGAGAAGATGCGATTGAAAAGGTGCGACTGAGAAGATGCGATTGAAAAGGTGCGATTAAGAAAGTGCCACTGAGAAGGGAGGAGACGAAGGCGCGCAATGAGCGAGGAGCGGTGGGAGAATGTGATTGAGCCCTCGGGAGCGGGCGTCGATTTATATTCAGAGCGAGTGGTCAATCGCACATGATGAATTATTATTCCTCGAAATTGGCTCGTGGATCATGTAACGAGTTTCGTCACGGAAGAAGGATAGGAGGAGAGGAGGGGTGGGGGTGAGGGGGAGGAGAGGAGGACGGGAGGGGGTGAGGGGAGGAGAGGAAGCTCAAGGGGATCGGCACTGCGCCGAGGCCCGGAAACGCGCATTCGGTGGACTTTAGGACTAGATGATGATGGTGTTGCGGCAGCGAGAAGGTCGACCAAGGGTGTGGCGAGTGTCGTCATGGTGGGCACAAGGGGGAGGAACGCGAATGAGTGGACGAGGGGAGCGGCGATGACGGGAGGAAAGCCGTTCGGGAGGCGCGAGCGTGCGGCTAGTGAACGCGTTAAGTTGGCCAATCCCAATGCACAAAGGCGTGCTTCAAACTCTGGCTGGCCGCAGCGCAAACAAGCTTCTGCCTCGAGTATCAGTACCCAGCTCGAGTAGAGAGTTGCGACAAGTGCGGGAGTTGCGGAGAGTGATCCCTTGGATGAACGCGTTCAAGTTTGCGGTGGTGGTCGAAAAAAGGCTCAGAAGCGGACGTGGTTGAATACGGTCAATTACGTTTAGGCGCGGTTTTCGGCTCTTACCACATTGCGCACCAGGATGAACCATTCAAAACGAATTGGAACGTGTTTCGTAACGTCCTTCAATTGTTTTTCATATACCCTATATTTTTGTTACAGGTGCAATGATCTAAATCGAGAAAATTGCACTCGGGCGTCAACCGAGTACAAATTATGAGCGAAGGCATGGGAAAATACCTATACGAAACATGCAAGTGGTTACGCGGTGCGTGCAAGCTACCTAGTGCGATGCTGGCATCAAGGTTCGGGCTAGTCCCGAAGCGTAGGCTGACACGGCCGGGCCAACAGTGCATGGTTTGGTGAATAATGCACGCGAAGGTTGGCGAAGCCCAGTTAGCAGTAAAGGGCGAACAACGGCTGCTGCTGTACGCGGTATTGAAGCACGCCGTAAAGAATGGTGGAAAAATCCTTACACTACCCACCCCCTGAAAAAACCTTCTCTGCTACGCGAGTGCATGTATACCACGAAAATCCCAGCTCCTCGGGTACACTTGCAAGGCAGGGCGGTTTTCGATGTTGGCCAGGGGCACCTAGCTGTATTTGGTCGGGATGCGGTCCTTCCAGCGAACGAGGAACTCGATCCTCCTGATTCCTGCGGGGTAGCGAATCCGATGGCTTAGTTTTTTTTCGGGGTCGACGATCGGCTCCGATGCAGGTCGAGTCATTGACGGTGGGCGATTGCGTGGCAGTTGGCTTGTGGTGGGGATGTACGGGTGGAGCAGGCTGACATGGAACGATGGGCTAATGTACCAGTCTAACGGTAACAGTAGGTGTCAAAACATGATAATGGTTATGTTGCGTAGGCTATAGTGGGGTAACCCTTAAAGGGTACAACCCAATTAGGGCTAGTACTTGTATTCATCTTGTTCTCAATGCCATCATTCTCGTTCAGTATTTTGACATGGTTTCAGAGCAGGTCCTATTCCACGACCGTTTTTTTAGGGCCCACCGAAGAGTACCCTGCCCGTCGCGCTGCCCCACCAGTCGCGTTGCCCTACCTTGCCCTTCCCTGCGTTGCGCCGCCCCGCGCACGCCCTGCCCTGCGTCGCGCCGCCCCGCGCACGCCCTGCCCTGCGTCGCGCCGCCCGCGCACGCCCTGCCCTGCCCGTCGCATCATCCTAGGGCCCGTGCGCCGCCTTGATCTGCCCGTTTCCCCCCGTGTCCGCGTGCCGCCCTGCTGGCAGCGCACCACCCTGCCCTGGCCGCACGCCGCCCTTCCCCGGCCGCGCGCCGCCCCGCCCTGGCTTGCGCGCCTCCCTAGTGCCCGCGCGTCGCCCCGAACAGACTTGCGTGCCTCCCTGCTTCCTGCGCGCCGCCCTGCCTTGCCTGCGTGTTGCCCTGCTGGTTGTGCGCCACCCTGCTCTGCCCGTTATGGCCTCTATGTTCTCACCTTCGATTCTGAGGGCCGTCCGATCCAGTTTGAGACCTGGCTAGACGACTTACAGCTGTACCTACAGAGCGAGTCTAAGGACAGTGTCTCCTTATTTGACCACACGTCTAGGAGCTCTCTCGCCCCCCCCGAGACAGCTGACAGTGCAACTCGCTCACAGTGGCTTACCCGTGACGCTACTGCTCGCCTCGCCGTTCGCAACCACCTGCCGTTAGCCAAACGCGTGCACTCCTCCCCTGCCACTGCTACTCTAGGCCGACTCATACTGCCCTACCTCTTTCCTGAGCTGTCGGCCTTGTCCACAGTCGACGACCTCATCATACACCTTCTCATGGCACTCCTCTCACTCCCTTCTTTGAGGGGTGTTCCCCCTCCCCCCTTGCCCCCTCTGTCGCTTCTGCTGCTGCTGTTGACTTCCTTCGTGCTGCTTCTGCTCCTAGTGGGAGGCGCCGCAGCGGCAAGGGCAAGGGAGGCAAGAGTGGTGGGGGTGGCGGCGGTGGAGGCGGTGGTGGAGGCGGTGGAGGTGGGTGGTGGTGGCGGTGGTGGTGGTGGAAGTGGTGGTGGGAGTTGAGGCGTCGGTGGCGGCGGTGGTGGTAGCGGTGGGAGTGGTGGCGGCGGTGGTGGCAGCAGTGGGAGTGGTGGCGGCGGCAGTGGTGGCGGTCGGGGTGGAGCGGTCCAGAGGGGAGGTTCTGGTGGTGGCCAGAGGCAGCAGCAGCAGCGTCCCCATGAGACCCTCAGCTTCGTGGGTGGTTTGCTCAACGTGGGGCGTCTGGGGGTAGTGTTCGCTGCCCGTACGTCATTCGCACATGTGATCGGGCTGGTCAGGCATGCGGGAAGGTTGGTCACACTCAGTACCGCTGCTTCTGCCGTCCTGACGACGCCTGGCTCGCAGAGTTTGGCGACGAGGCTGAGCTCCCCCGCTGGCTAGAGCTGCTTAGGACCGATGTGGATATCTTTGCTCTTGACTATGATGCTATTCTTGCTGCCATGTATGCTTTGACTGTTAGTGCTGAGGATGACTATTACCTGTATGTGCCGCCCGACCCAGGTATAGAGGCTGCTGCTCTAGGTGCTAGTGCGCCTGCTCTCTCTGGTACTGCGCCTGCTGAGGCCTTGCACACCTTCACGCTTGACTCAGGTGCTTCCCGCTGCTTATTTTGCGACAGTACTACAGTCACACCACTCCCTGCACCTGTTGCAGTCTCTCTGGCTGACCCCTCAGGGGGCCCAGTTCTTGCACGTTCCTCCACTATTCTCCCGTGTCCGGCGGTTCCGTCTGGCTCATTTTCCGGTCTTCACCTCCCCTCGTTCTCTACGAACTTGATGAGTACCACTGCCCTCCAAGATGAGATGGTCACTACCACCACTCCTGGGGGTCAGCGTGTGTCGATCTGCACGTGTGCACGGACGGGCCGTCACCTGGCCACGTTCACCCGTCGGCCTCAGTCGAGCCTGTACACACTGACTACTGAGCCTGCTCAGGTGGCTGTGTCTGGTCAGGTGTTCGCGTCAGGTCAGGTAGCAGCCCCCTGTTCGTGTCGCCTCCTCACGCACCAGACTCTCCTTTGGCACCACCGCCTTGGTCATCCCTCCCTGCCACGCCTCCGTGGCATGCACTCCCGCCTCCTTGTCTCTGGTCTTCCCAGGTCTCTGCCTTCCCTCCCGCCCTCGCCTGTGCCACCCTGCCTTCCTTTCGTTGAGGGGCGGCAGCGCGCCGCTCCTCACCCCTCCTCGTTTCCCCGACGACTGCTCCCCTGCTGACTCTCCATATGGATGTGTGGGGCCCAGCCCTCGTCAATGGACAGGACCGCGAACGATACTCTCTGCTGGTTGTTGACGACTACTCGTGTTACACCACGGTCTTCCCCTTGTGCAGCAAGGGGGAGGTCCCTTCTGTCTTTCTCCCTTGGATCCGCGCTGTCCGTCTCCAGCTCCGCGAGCGGTTCCGCCAGGACCTTCCTGTCCTGCATCTGCACTCTGACAGAGGTGGTGAGTTCTCCTCCCACCTCCTACAGGACTTTTGTCGTGGGGAGGGCATCCTCCAGTCGTTCACGCTTCCGGCCTCCCCGCAGCAGAATGGGGTTACTGAGCGCCGCATTGGCTTAGTCATGGATGCTCCCCATTTTCCGTGGCCGTTTGCGGTCCGGTACGCTGCGCATCAGCTCAACCTCTGGCCCCGTGTCTCCTTGCCGGAGACCTCGCCTACACTGCGTTGGATGGGGAAGGTTGGCGATGCGTCGGTGTTCCGGGTCTGGGGCTCTTGTGCCTTTGTCCGCGATACCACCGCGGACAAGCTCTCCTCTCGCGCCTTTCCCTCCGTCTTCCTTGACTTTCCCCCTGACGCGACTGGCTGGCAGTTTTACCACCCCACCACGTGCCATGTTCTGTCCTCTCATGACGTCATGTTTGATGAGTCGGTTCCCTTTTATCGTTTCTTCCCCTACCGCACTGCCCCTTCCCCCCCCCCCCCCCCCCCCTGCCGCTCTTCCTCGCTCTTCCAGTGACCTCGACAGGCTCAACCAGGGGAGAGGGGTCTACCTGGGAAACACCTGAAGGAGCAGGACCCTGAGGGGAGAGGGGTTCTACCGGGGGCGGACCTGGAGCGAGGAAGCGCGGGGGGGGGGGGGGGGGGGAGAGGCAGCGCGGTAGGGGAAGAGACGGTAAAAGGGAACCGACTCGTCAAACGTGACGTCCTGAGAGGACAGAACACGGCGCGAGGTGGGGTGGTAAAACTGCCAGCCAGGCACGTCAGGGGGGAAGCCAAGGAAGACGCAGGGAATGGCGCGAGCGGAGAGCTTGTCCGTGGTGGTATCGCGGACAAAGGCACGAGAGCCCCAGACCCGGAAGCGCGACGCATCGCCAACCTTCCCCGTCCAACGCAGTGTGGGCGAAGTCTCCGGTAAGGAGACACGGGGCCAGAGGTTGAGCTGACGCGCGGCGTACCGGACCGCAAACGGCCACAGAAAATGGGGAGCAGCCGCATGGATCATGGAGGTGCGAGCGATCTCCATGACTAGGCCAATGCGGCGCTCAGCAACCCCATTCCGCTGCGGAGAGGCCGGAAGCGTGAACGACTAGAGGATGCCCTCCCCCTGACAAAAGTCCTGCAAGAGGTCGGAGGAAAACTCACCACCTCTGTCAGAGTGCAGACGTAGGACGGGAAAGTCCGTCTGGAAACGGTCGCGGAGCTGGAGACGAACAGCGCGGATCCAAGGGATCAAGATAGCAGGGACTTCACCCTTGCTGCGCAAGGGGAAGACCGTGGTGTACCGCGAGTAGTCGTCAACAACCAGCAGAAAGTACTGCTCGCGGCCCTGTCCCTGGACGCGGGCTGGGCCCCACACGTCCATGTGGAGAGTCTGCAGGGGAGCGTCTGTCGGGGGAAACGAGGAGGAGTGAGGAGCGGCGCGCTGCCGCCCCTCGACACAAGGGAGACACGGCGGGGCAGGCGAGCGTGGGAGCGACGGCAGCGACTGGGGAAGACCAGAGACAAGCAGACGGGAGTGCATGCCACGGAGGCGTGGCAGAGAGGGGTGACCAAGGCGGTGGTGCCAGAGGAGAGTCTGGTGCGACAGGCGACGACACAAGCAAGGGGCAGACTGCAGTCCGGACAAGGACACCTGACCAGTAGCAGCAACCTGGGGAGACCCGACAGTCAGGGTGTACAGACTCGACCCAGGCCGACGGGTGAACGTGGCCAGGTGGCGGCCCGTGCGGGCACACGTGCAGATCGCCACACGACGTCCTCCAGGGGTGAAGGTGTCAACCCACTCATCCTGGATGACGGCGTTACTCACCAGGTTCGTGGAGAACGAGGGGAGGTGGAGACCTGTAAGTGAGCCAGCCGGGAACGCCGGACAGGGGAGGACAGTGGAGGAACGTGCAAGGACAGGTTCCCCAGAGGGGTAAGCAAGGGAGACGGGAACCGGTGCATAGAGCGGTGTGACTGTGGTGCTGTCGCGGAAGAAGCAGCGGGAGGCACCTGAGTCTAGCGTGAAAGTGTACAAGGCCTCAGTAGGCGCAGTACCTGAGAGAGCAGACTCACTAGCACCTAGAGCAGCAGACTCACAAGCACCAAGGGCAACAGACTCACAAAGCACTGGAGCAGCAACCTCTATACCAGGGTCTGGCGGAACACACAGGTAACAGTCACCCTCATCACTAATAGTCAATGCATACATGGCAGCAAGGATAGCATCATAGTCAAGATCAAAGATCTCTACTCCCCTCCTAAGCAGCTCAGCCCAGTTGGTCATCTCAGAGGAGTCAGGAAACTGAGCACGCCAGGCACCACTAAGGCGGGAAAAGCAGCGGTGCTGGGTGTGCAACCTCCCGAAGGTCTAACCAGCACGCTCACCTGTACGAATGACATACGGGCAGGTACCACCACCCCCAGGCGACTGACGCTGCGCGTACCACTCACACGAAGTTCCTGCGGCGTACGGGGCAGGCGCTGGCGCTGCTGCTGCTGTGCCTGGCTGCCTGTAAAGCCGCTGTGCCGGGCCGCACCACTGCGTCCACCGCCACCGACGCCGCTGCCACTCCCACACCGCCGCACCTCCGCCGCTGCCCCCCCACTGCCGCCACCACCACCGACCCCAACACCCCCACCCCCACCCCCGCCGCTCCCACCACCCCCGCCGCCACCACCCGAGCCTCCACCACCGCCTCCACCCCCACCACCCCCACCACCCTTGCCGCCCTTCCCCTTGCCGCTGCGGCGCCTGCCACTGGAAGCAGACGCAACCCCAACCTCCTCAGCACCAAGGAGGTCGACAGCAGCAGCAGTGGCGACAGAGGGGAGGAGGGGAGAGGGGGAACACCCCTCGAAGAAGGGGGTGCGAGGAGTGCCTCGAGAAGCGCCTATAGTGAGCTAAGTGGGGTCCATGGCGAGGAAGGTGTCCCTGACAGCGCGAAGAGAGTCAGGGAGGCGAGTGACTAGGAGGTAGAGGGTGTAGTGGATAGGGGGAGGGTTCTTGGTGAGGAAGTCGGCAGGGGTCGCAGCACGCACCCGAGTGTCGCTAGTGCGGAGGTGGGTGATGAGATCAGCGACTGTAGGAAAGGCGGACAGGTCAGGAAAGAGGTAGGGCAGGATAAGACGGCCTAGCGCAGCAGTGGCAGGCGAGCTGTAGCGAGCTACGACTGCGTCGAACAGGTCCTTGGCGGTTTTCTGTTGGCTAAAGTGCGCGCGCTCGGCTTACGGTAGGTGGTTGCGCACAGCTAGGCGGGCAGCAGCGTCGCGAATAAGCCACTGGTCACGAGTGTCAGCGTCAGCAGTGTCTGCAGGGGCGGCAGCGCTACCAGACGTATGAGCGAACAGGGACACACGATCCTTAGACTCGCACTGAAGGTAGAGCCTAAGGTCGTCTAACCAGGTCTCAAATTCGATCGGGCGGCCCTCTGCGTCAAAGGTGAGAACATTGTAAGTCGCCATGGGCAAAGGGCAAGCGGCAGGATGCGTGCACAGGGCAGAAGGAGGCGGCGCTCACTGGGTTAGGGGCAGCCGGCAGGGGAGGAAGCGGACTGCACACACATGCAGGGTAGGGAGTGCGGCGGGCAGGCTGCGCACGGGCAGGGCAGGGCAGGCTGCGCACGGGCAGGGCAGAGCGCGGCTGCGGGTTGCGCACGGCAGGGCAGGGTGGCGCGGCGGTGGACTGCGCACGGCAGGGCAGGGTGGCGCGGCGGTGGGCTGCGCACGGGCAGGGCAGGGAGGCGCGGCGGCTGGCTGCGCACGGGCAGGGCAGGTGGCGCGGCTGTGGGCTGCGCACGAGCAGGGCAGGTGGCGCGGCGGCGGGCTGCGCACGGGCAGAGCAGGTGGCGCGGCGGCGGGCTGCCCACGGGCAGGGCAGTGCGCGGCGACGGGCGGCGCACGGACAGGACAGGCGCGGGCGGGCGGGGGGCGACGCGACAGCAGCGCGACGCGGCCAGCAGTGCGCGCGGGGTGGGGCAGGCAGAGCAGTGCGCTAAAAAAAATTCGCGCTGCAGCAGTGGCGCGTGGCTGACAGGGGCAGCGCGACTCGGGGTAGGGCAGTGGGGTAACGCGGTAACAGGTGGTCCCTATGAAAAGCTTAGGCCCTAAGGACCCATGGCTCTTAATACCATGTCAAGATAATAGACTAGAATAGGATGAACTAAGGCAAGATGTGATACAAGTATGAAACCCTTAAGGGGTTGTACCCCTTAGTGGCTACCCCACTGTAGCCTACAACATACAAACAACAAATATAGTTTGACAGTTGTTTCATGTAACAGTTGAATGATTCAAGACCTATGCTATTCAGCTCCCCCACATGCTAGGCAGGGGATGCGGTAGCATAGGGTCTGGGTCAATTAACTGTTACGCATTTCCATCATGCTAAGCATTCATTTCACTATATTGGACCGAAGTATATACCGGTACTACCGGTACATTCACCACAGTAGCATATATCAGAATCACTAGGCAAGAATGAATGAACTAGCAGAAGTTTGGGTACAAATATGAAACCCTAGTTGGGGTTGTACCCCATATTGGCCTACCAACATATAACACACTGCATTATATTTATGCATTTTACATCATATCCATCATTATACTTCGATTATGCATAACATCGCCCGTCATATGCATTACGAAATGAACAACTATGCATTCAAAGTAACATCGTTTTAGTAACGCATGTTCATATTTCGTCCGTATAGTATACCGTATGGCGCCGGATATAGGCGCCGTCCGATTAAAGGCGCCGGCGCTTCTATCTGGAGCATGGCGCTTATGGCCGGAACTCGATTATAAGCGCCCCCCTTGTAAACCCCTGATTTATTATAAGCGCATGCATAATTTTATTTTTTCAATCCTGATTAAAACGGTAGCGAATCTCAACTTCCAAGCGAGTCAGCACCCATTTTCACCTTGTTTGACTTTCGAGGTCCTGACTGGTTGCGCGTCCAGTCAGGACGAGGTGGCACGCGGGCAAATTGATGTGCCAAATGCTCTGTTCAGCGTCAGAGAATCGCCCTCGCGCGATTCTGATTCAGGAAGCTGTAAAATTTCGACTCGATTGAACTTACTTGACAAAAATGTACAGTTTGGTGCGTTTAAGTTATAATTCTATATTTGTCATTATATAAGCGCCGGCGCTTATGGCCGTGACTCAATTAACCCCCCCCCCCCCCCCCCCCCCCCAAAAAAACTGATTTTATTATAAGCGCATATGCGCTACTATCCGGGGTGATACGGTGGTTCATCCAAACTAGGAAATGAGAACGAAGTGCTAATTGCAGGGCCTCATATTCGTTTTTAGCTTGGCTGATACGTCAGCCTTAGCAAGCTACCCTAGGCTGATCTATCAGAGTTGGGTGTAACAAAAAAGCTGAACTTTCAGACAAGTCCTTAAAAAAACGCTGACTAATCAGCCTCTCTAAAAAACGAAGGCTGATCTAAGTTTCAGCACTTTTATTCATACGATGTAGCATGTGACATTACACTACACTACACTAATGACACTACACTACGTCAGCTGCTCAAGGCACTACAGTACATGGATAAGCACTACACAGTCTACACTACATGAAGTTAGCTGCTCATTTCATCATCTTCATCACTAGAACTACCTCATGCATCTCCTACTGGCTCCTCATCATCTTCATCTATTGGCTCCTCATGCTTGCCCTTCTTGTCGCCTAGGGTCGAGGTGAAGATGGGGGCATTACTGAAAGGCTTGCGCTTTCTGTAACTCCGCCAAATCTCAACTACCTCATCGTAGTTGGGCTCGTACTGCATGAGGGACAGACACATGAGGTCCCCCAGTCTCGCGTCCTTGATCCCCCCCCGCCGCCATGTCTTATTCACGTTCTGCCGGGTGAATCCCCTTTCACACTCCACTGTGCTGAGGGGAATCACAGCCACCACCACCCAGAGCTGCACCAGATTGGGGTAGCTCTCCCGCCAGTCTGGCGTCTTCAGGATCGCCGTCGGACCGCTGTGGAAGCCCCGCTCTTCCTTGGGGGCACACGCAAGGACTGAACAGAAGAGGCGAAGCTCCTTGACTGCCTGCCTCTTTTTGATGCCTGGTGGAAGGGAGGGAGGCAGGGTTCAGAAGAGACAAAGGAGCAAACTGAACCAAAGGATTGTCATTCAAACATATGGATGAAGTCATGACTTGACAAGTTAGGCTTAACGAACCTGGCAAAATCTCCTCACGGTCCTGAGCCTTGAACATCGTCACCAGCGAGTTGAGCCACTCCTGGCAACGCGCATTCCGCTCGGACTTGCCCTGTGGCCATGCATCAGGAGTGAAGAGGCGGACTCCTGAAAGCGAGTCGAGATCACCGAGCCGACCCTCCAGGTTCGCCACGATCCGTTCCGCGAACTCGGTGCACAACTGGATGCAGCCGTCGTGGTCTTCCGGGCCGCTGTACGAGTCCACGGGCTCGTCGTGAAGGGTGAACGTGACTGTAGATGGCCGGCCGTCACTGTCGACACCTTCCACCTTCACTTCGCGGCTACACCCCGGGCCATGGCGCTCCAGGAAAGGTGACAGCCACTGGCTGCTGCCACCGCCGAAGTCATCGCCGCAGTCCACGTAGCGGCTCTCGATGTGATGCGTGGTCCGCTTGATCTGCGCATGCAAAGACACCAGATCAAGCTGGACAGACGAAGGCATACAGTGACAATGTTAGTGACGGCCGAAATAGGGTTACATGCATGGGGAAAATCGCACCACCTCACCTGTCTCCGCTGGAAGGTCTTGTTCAAGATGTTGAGCTGCTCAAGCACATCTGCCAGGAAGTAAAGGAAGAAGTGAAAACGATAGGAGCTTGCCAGCGCGAACATTTTGCTGTTAAGCTCCTTCAGCAGCACAATCACTGCCGGGCAAGACAGCGACCAGGCGACGGACGGCATCCCCCCGTGACAGCCACCGAACGGAGTGGATGCCTTGCACTTCAAGGCTTGTTTCGGTGATGACCTCTTGCAGGTCCATGAACCGTGCGTGGCGCGGTCCCGACCGACCAAGCAAATCTGCCACAGCCCGGATAAGATCGTCGACCATGTCGAAGACGGGGAGCTCCTCTGCCGCATCCTTCGCTGCAAGTGCTTCCCTGCAAGTGGAACACATCACACGGGGGAAATCAGATATGTCCTAAACAGACAGTGGAAACGGGATGGAAACTGAACCGCATAGCTCACTAACCTGTGCGCGATGCAGTGAACGGAGACAAGGTGCGGGATTTTCTGTCGCAGTCGGACAACCAATCCGGCCTTAGTCCCCATCATCACTCGTGCGCCGTCGGTGCAAATGCCGGAAATCCTCTGCAGGTCGACACCGACGGCCTGCAAGTGGGAAAGCAGGACGCTCAGAAGAGATGAAGCGTCCGCCTTTTCCACCGTGATTAGCTGCATAAACTCGGTCACGAGCACGTTGTCGCGAATTAACGAGGCGTACAGGATCATGTGCTTCCCCCTGAGCCGATCCGTGCTTTCATCGATGCAGATGCCGATGAAAGGGCTTGTCAGGATGTGCTCTAGCTGAGTTGTCTGTAGCCAGGTAGCAAGGGCCTGCGTGAGCTCACCGAAGCCGTACCTGCCCACAGGGAAACAGAAAACAGGAGATTAGAAGTAGGTTAATGTACAAATACAAACATCACAACACACCAACAAATACAGGGGGAAGGTGTACTCACGTTGTGTAGTAGGTGCCATATCCCTTCTTTGGGAAGCCTTGAACCCCCTTGCGCGCGAGGTACTGCACCAGCTTTACCCATGTTCCCATGGGCGCATCGCATGAACTGACGAACAGCATGGAGTCGAGCAACGCCACGACTCGGTTCTTCTCAGCATCGACGGCGGCTCGATGTTGGTCGATTCGTGGCTGCTTCGAGGCCGCGTTCAGCAGGGCCTCCTGCTTCTCCATCGCAAGCTTGTGTTTCGTTGTGCCGGCGTGCTTGCGAAACGCCTGCGTCTGCACGTCGGTGGCCCCGCTCCCTGTCTGGCCACAACGTCCTCTGAGTCCGGCATGCTTGGTGCAGACACTGCACTTAAAAGCTGGGAAACCAGATTTAGATTTGGTTAGCACAAGCCACGGGAACCTCTCAGACCACCTATTTTTGTACTTCAAGAGAGCGTCTGCATAGACTGCTTCAACTGCTTCCGAAAGGTCAACGAGCAATGATGGATGAGGGGATGAGTTGGTCACGACAGGTTGCTCGACGGCGGTGCTGGAAGAAGGCTTTGCCCAGATCAGCGTCGCCTGCTTCAGTTTGAAGTTGCGCGTTGCAGGCGACTCGACAACCACTGTGTCGGAGACGGCAGCAGGCGCAGCAGGTTCACTCCGGATGGAGTCCGGGCTTGTAGATGGCGGTGGGTGGTCGCGGTTCACCCTCTCAACTGGAGCAGGCTTTGTTGTAGGAGGCCTGGTAGCGTGGAGACCAGTGCCTAGCGAGCGCAGGAGCATA